TCCACCTATACATCTCAACACGTCCGAGCCCCAAACCCTGAACCCTAAACCAGGGTTTTCGAAACTCATCGACACCTCATGTCCTTGACAGGCTATTCCGTCACTCCGAAGTACGTGCGGATCCCTGTCATCCCTGCTTCCCCGACCTTAGACTAGGCCTGGAAGATGCCTGGCATCAGTTTAGCAGGCTCCTTGGTGTCTAGGCTCCCCAGAGAGCCCAATACCCCTTAATTAAAGAATATATCTTAAATCATAATATTAATGCCCCCATCATTTAAGGTATATTCCTTATTTAAGCGGTTTTGGGCTCACTGGGTCTGTACAAAGCAGGCTAAACCCCAAATCCCAAAAATCTCTAAACCCTCGAATGCAAAGTAGGCGCTGGTGTCTGCTCGAATAGACAGCAAACCTCGGCTACCAAGACCCGGATGCCCTGAGGGTCCTTTGGGGGGTCTGGGCCCCGGAATCTTAATCCCGAATATAGGGGCCGTTTCTGAGGTTCCTTTTCCAGGGATCCTTAGAATAAGGCTCTATGAGGGATCTATAATAGGGTTCGATATAGGAGCCGTAACAATTAGAATAGGGTTTTGGGGCCCGTTATACTACGAGTATATAATAAGGACTCCCCCCCAAGAAAACAAATCCAATTCTTTAATAACCTCAACCTTGGTCCCGGTTTGGGCTAGGAGGAGCTGGGAGATCAACGATCAAATTGCGCGGGGGCTGTGGGCTTATATACAGGTCGCGGTCCTCAGGGATCTAATTAAATTAGACAATTAAAGACAGGGGTTTGCGTGTCAGAAACCCTAAATGCTATAAATCTTCAACCCTTCACCCTAAACCTTAAACCCTAAACCTTGAACCCTAAACCCTAAGCCCTTACTGCTGATGATATAAATCCTGCATTACCTGAAGGACCCTAAAGTATGGGAAGTATGGTATATTCCTTGTTATGGGTAATGCAGGATTTATATCGTCAACCATACCCCCTGGTCCTGAGGTTCCTTACTATACTCAACTATAAGATACCCCAAAACCCTATTCAAATGATTCGAGGCGCCTATATTGGGGTGCGGCCTTAAGTCCTCAATCGCAAGGACAGCCAAACCCACCAACCCCAAACCCTCAACCGCAATCCACGGCCCGTCTGCCTAGGCTGTTCCTTAACACACTGGGAAATGTACATATTTCTTTGGGTCAGTCATATTCGAACAGCAATCATAATGAGTGTAAACCCCAAGCCCTAAACCAAAAAGTAAAGACCAAAATCTTCACACCACCGAACAACGCAGACCATAAACCCTTGAAGGACATCGGGCAATTCTCTGCTGAATGCATGACAAAGCGTCGGCAGTAGAGTTCAGCACCTGGGCTCTTGGTGTCCAACACATATGAGGTTTAAAAATGCAAGCTTAGAGCTATACTGTACTCAAAGATTAAGATCTTGTACTATTCAGCGCAATGAAGCATATCAACAAAATCACAGTCAGGCTCACAGCAACCCTTAGGGTTGGGATTTAGAGAAGAAGCCAGGCATCCCAGCCATTGAGCCCTGGAATCTCTCAGAAGCCGCAAGCCTGAACCCTGAACACTTAATCCTCACTGAAGCAGCCTAAACCCTAAATTACTAAACCCGAAGCCTCCGCCGAACTTCGATAACGAAACATCAGCTGTTGAAGGGAACACACCTAGGAGCGGTGGACTTTCAAAAGTTCATGCTTTTGTGCTGTGGAGCCCCCAGTAGCGGTCAAGGGTCTAGGACTTGCTGCAGCCCTGAACGAAAAACCACAGACACATCAGCCCTGAACCCTGAAAAACAAACACACACACACAACGATTTTAGGGTTTAGGGGTTTAGGTGTTTAGGGTTTTGGGTTTACGGTAAACCCCAAACCCGAAACCCCAAAACCCTCGAAGCAAGCCGGGAAATGAACCGAGAAGCGACACCAGCCCCTTTGCAGCCAGGAGGTGTAGTTACACCGTTCACCTGGCATCAGGGTTTAGGGTTTAGGGTTTGGGGTTTAGGGGTTTAGGGTTTAGGGTCCCAAGCGGAGGATCATGCGGAAGGGGCTTAGGGTTTAGGTGTTTTTGTAAAAGCCCCAAAGTTGAAGACCCAATAGCCTCTGTCCTCAAGAGTAATGCATGAGGAACCCTGGCGCTAATTGTCCTTAATCCGGCTTCCAACTTCTTGGGGCTAACTATAGGAATTTATTGGTTTAGGGGCGATAAGGGTCAGAAGTAGGGTAAAGTGGAGGTTCATGGTTTTTTTCTGGTAGAGGGTTTAGGGTTTAGTATCCGGTTCATGGGTAGTTAGAAGTGGGGTGGAGAGGGTAGGGTACCCCTAAACCCTAAACGCCCTAAACCCCTGAACCTAACCACCCCTGAACCCTAAACCGTGACCTCTTATGATAACCCATATCAGGGGACTTATAACCCCACTTATAACGACCCATGAACCTCCAAGCAGAGGTAAATGGTTCGGGCTGGGGTTTAATTTAGGGTTTCGGGTTTAGGGGTTTGGGGTTTCGGGTGGTCCTTATGCGAGTGTAGGTTCTAGACTGGCTTTTAAATTTTGGAGTTCGGATTGAACAGTGGCTTTTTTCCTGGTTTCGTTGGTTCAGAAGTCTTTTGGGAGTTTGACGCCAAACCGCTAAACCCTAAACCCCTAAATAAACCTCTAAACCTCTAAACCCCTAAACCCTTAAACCCTAAACCCCTAAACCTCTAAACCCCTAAACCCCTAAACCCCTAAACCCACCGAGGCCTGGGTTCCGGTCTCAGGCCTCGCAGTCGAGCAGCAGCACGTGCTTCAACGGTTTAGGGTTTAGGATGTAGGATTTAGGGTTTTTAGGTGGCTCTTTAAGTTTTTTTTTGTAGGGGGCCTAAGTTTGTTTATAGGACATGGAAGGAGTGTCTTGAAAGGGCTTAGAAGGATCCATAAGACCTCAAGCTTTAATGCACAAATAAAAGAGCCTCATGACAAAAGGCCTCTGCCTTCGCTTGGATTCCAATGCGCATCCTAAAAGGTGGGCTTTTGCTACAGTCAATGACAACACCTCAACAATACTCTGACTTCGGGCTTCGGCTGTTTCATCAATAACTCCTGCGGCGAGGCGGTTCCGCGTACTCTGCCCCGAATATGGAGCTTCTTCCTTTCTCGGTTTTTGCTGGCTTGGAGAAACAAGCTGCCCTTTAGTGACGCCCAAGAAGCCCGGATGAAGACTCCATGCGATGTTCAAGGGTCTCCACCATGATTAGACCAGGGACTACTGAACTACTGGCTATTGGGCGAGGAGGGGTTACACGACAAGACTCTGCACATCAAGCGGGATAATGCATTAGACCTGCTAATGCAGAGCTCAAAAATCTCCCTTTTAGATCTCCAGTATTGCAGGAATTCGAAGATTAATTTTGCAGAAGTCCAGAACCCACAATGCATTGAACTGGCTCTGTGAGAACTGTGCGATATAACGCTTGCATGTGGCAGCATACGTGTGGATCAGAAATCAGATTGCCAACGATTTATGAGCATAACAACCAAATAGTTTGACTGCTTTCATCATGCAAACCCTAAACCCCTAGGATGTAGCCCAGCGAGATTCAACCGCCCCCTAGACTAAAGAAGATATAAACTAAACCAAACTCGTCAAGGCCCCTATGGTTTTCGGCATATTTCTGACGACCAACCCTATTAACAAAAAACAACTTCAAACCAAAAAAATCACCGATTCCTTGATTCAGGGGCCCTTTGGGTTCTCTGTCAACATCTAAACTCCAACCAAGCCTCTGTAATGAAACCTAAACCACTAAACCACTCATAGTCACTAAACCCCTAAAACCCAAAACCCCAAAACTAAACACTAAACCCCTAAACCCTACACACCCCACGGCCCTGTGATGAAAGCCAACATCTCAGCTCTTCGCGCGGCTTCCTTGGCTTCGGCCTTCTCCGGTTCCTCCAAGCTCCGGGGGAGTTGGCTGGTGCATTTTGGAAAGGGTGTAGGGTTTAGGGTTTAGGGGTTATAGGGTTTAGGGCTTAGAGTTTAGGGTTTAGGGGTCTATAGGGTTTAGGGCTTTAGGGTGAAAAGGTGTAGGGTTTAGGGTTTAGGGGCCTATGTCATGCTATAAGTCATATTAGGGACTATAAGGCTAGAAGGGGATACTCGTGAATTGGTAATACGTCATATTCTATAGGAACTTTCAGGTTATGTTGGGATACTATTGGTAATTCTTCCGGCATCCGAAAGGTGGCACTTCAAGGTTTAACTAGACTAGAGGATGCAGGGTTGAGGAGTCCTTTTTGCAGAATCTATGCTGGGCCAAGACTTTCTGGATGTTCAATGAGCAGGAATGTCTGAAGGCACGACGAAATGGAGCTTGCTTACGATCATGTCCCATTTCGGACACATGCGCTTCACATTGACAACGTTCACCACCGATCAATACCCGCCGTCCCTCAACAAGGGTTTTCACAAGGGGTCCTAAATTTAAGGTGCCGTTGACCAGGGGTCAACGTTACTCAGGAAGAACCAGAACTGGAACGCTCGCCAGATAGGAGGCAGAGGCGAGCGCTCACCCTGTCCTCCGACACATCCCATTATTGTTGTCTGAGCCAGTATTGCAACCATCGTTGCTACTGGGGCAATGTGACAATGATGCTAAACGGTCACAGTAGCCAGCAGAACAACAGCTGCACCTTCAAGCCCTAAAGTCATTAAGATGTGTTTATCTAACCTAGCGAAACATACAAACTCAACTACGGAGACCCTGAACCTCAAATGGTGGTAAAGGTAAACAGGATCTCTACAGCCGACACTGTTAATTAAGGATCGGGAAATTTGGACCACTCTGTCAAGGCCTATCAACTACTGCACCTTAACAAGTATAGTGGTAGAACAACTTGTGGTTGCACGGTGCTTGCTCCATTTTCCAGATGATTTAAAGTGTCTGGGAAAGAGCACCCTGCAATGCCCAAAGATCCCGGGCATTCTGACCCTCTCCTGAGGCTTTTCCTCTGGAGTTGGCAAGGCCTTGGGGCTTTTGCTCGTGCTGCTCCTACAATGACGCCGAGACGGCGACTACGCCCAAGCGATCCATGATCATGTCGAAAAACACACACTACGAGTAGTATGCACAGTTGCAATGAGGACCGCACCCTTACTAGTGACTAGTGATGAGGAGAGCAGTGACCGTCGCAGTTGCTGCCGAATCAAAAAGCATTGAGACATCGACGCAGCGGACCCGCAGCGACGTGTAACTACTTTGCAGAAGAGAATCAAGAATCGGGAAGCTGTATCGCCAATATGCCACAACCCTGGCAAATGTAAAGAGGGCTCTGAAGGGCCATCGGAGTCTTTATGAATGTGTTTTGGGGCTTTTTTTGGACAAACCCTACCGTCACACCACAGATCTCTGAAGGCCAAGGGGCAGAAAGCAGCGCTTTCGTGAGCTCGTCTGCTGCGGCTCCTGCGGCTCCTGACGCCAGTGCTTCTGAAATCCGTGGGGATGCCATCCCTCAGAGATAGAGTGCACCAGGGCTCCGGGCTGGGGGGAATTTGGGCGATTAGGGCCGATTAGGGTTTCTAGAAGCCGCAGAACACAAACACACATCATTTGGAGTCGTCTGGCGCACCTTGGCCGGACTCCGTACTCCCATCCAAAACCCAGTTGACACCCTAGTAGAATGGCCCTGCCCTACCAAGCCTTGCAAAAAAAAGCCCTGTGAAACCCCCCTGTACCATGAAGCCTGAACCCTAAACCCTAAACCCTAAACTCCCTGTACCAGGAAGCCTGAACCCTAAACCCCTAAAC